TTATTTATTTTCCTCCGACGTGTGGAATATAATGGAAGTAATTTAGTGATATCTGTAAGGTAGAAGTAGACGTATTTCTGTCAAACAGAACTATGTGCATGTGGGAAAGATGGGGTGTGCTCGTTAGTGCTCGGACCATAAGAATGGATGGGAATTAGACTACATTTTGCAATTTGGAACTATAAATTCTAGCCCGGTTTAAAAACGACGTATGTGCCATTAGTTTCCCTATGCGCATAAATGTTTTTCCAGAAGAGCCAAAATTTATAGTTCCAAATTGCAAAATGCAGTCCAATTATTGGCGCGCCAAAGAAGAAGCCGTCGTCGCCGAGCATTAACTCATGAGCCCTGTCAACAAGGCTCTAGATACATGACCATGGCTCATAAGTGCCGCATACAGTTGTCACACAGTTCCGTTTGCAGATAGTGCAAGCATTTCAAAATCATGAGTTGAAAAACGCTGACTCTGCGAGTTTAAATATTAGAGCCAAACAGAGTGGAGCGGCGTGCTGCCAGCGCGAGAAGCTCACTGGCGCCTACAAACCTAAGTGGATACTCCACGCATTGCGCAATGTTTGAAGTATCCACTTAGGTTTGTAGGCGCTAATGTGCGTTTTGCGCTGACCACCCGCTCGCCGTGCCGCGGCGCGGCACCTGAAGCAACTATTTCACAACAGAGGAATGGGCCTGTTGCAAACTTTTGCTAGAGCAAAAAATAAGAGTTGTTTCTTGTAGATAATGCCTCAAAAATCACGATGAGCGCATCGGCAAAGTCTGAAATGCGCTCATAACTTCACAATCTGCGTAAGAAATTTGCGTTTTTTTAAGCTTCCCGCTTCAAAAACGATACTACGGCGTAGGTGAACATTTTGTTAGAGGAGTCGCTCCATCGTCGGCGATATTCATCATGGCCGACGCTTGCACGCAGTTCCGCGCGTAATTCAAGGAGAGTTCAAGGTCAATCCATTCGGGCGTGGATAATATGAACTTTAACACACCGATTGTTATCTGGTCTAATCCAGTTCAGGTGTTATTTCGTCCCATCAAACGTGTTTTGGCGGATTGGCGTCGGCTATGATGATTATTGCCGACGATGGAACGACTCCTCTTACAAAATGTTCACCTTTGCCGTAGTATCGTTTTTGAAGCGGGAAGCTCAAAAAACCGCAAATTTCTTACGCAGATTGTGAAGTTATGAGTGCATTTCAGAGTTTGCCGATGCGCTCATAGTGATTTTTGAGGCATTATCTATAAGAAACAACTCTTAGTTTTGCTCTAGCAAAAGTTTGCAACAGGCCCATTGCAAAGTTCTTCCTTGACATTTTCAGGAACTTTAGGTGAAATATCAAACAAAATTATTTGAAAAATTGGAGGGAAAATATGCATAAGTGTACCAAGAAATTCGCGTTATATCGAAGAAAATTTGGCAACGCTTAAAGGTTCATTCGGCGTTTTTCATTTGCACGGCAGAATAGCTCGTTCCATTGTGCGGCGGAGCAACAAAACATGACAACTGGGGAGGGTTTTTTTCCGCTACATGGTGTAAAATATATTTCATCGTAAGGAGAAAATCGAAGATATCTCGTTTCATTCTTGAGAGAAAAATACCTTATGACGGGTTTGGAGTAGCCGAGCAGTGCGGCTCCTTCGGGGACACGCCTCGAAACATGGGGAAAGAACGATGCGAACCAGGAGATGCGGCAATGACGGCGTTATCGCACCCTTAAAGCGAAAATGGGTCAGGCTAATGGTCTGACTAATAAATTAAGCAAAAGCGGCCGTGCGGGCGCTGGCGGGCCGCNGGGGGGGGGGGGGGGGGCAGACGAGTCCGTCTTTGTTCCGAGATTGGTTCGTGAAAATGAAACAGCAGCAACAAAAGTGAAAGGTGAGCGCGTTTAAGTTGATAAATCCCCGCTCTGTGTAATTTTCTGCCGTGCTAAGGAAGAACGTCGTATGAACATTCGAGAGTTGCCAAAATTCCTTCGATGAAACACGTATTTTTGACGAAATTTATGCACATTTTTATTTCAAATTTTCAGGTATTTTAGAGTAAATTGCGTACAAAATTGTCTGAAAATGTTGGAAAAAAATATTCAAAATTTTCCCAGTAAATTCGGTTTTTATCGAATGAAACTTGGCAACGCATGAAGGACCATACGGCGTTCTTCCTTAGCGCGGCAGTTTTCCCGGGAAATCCCGTGCATTACGCGACATCGAACGTTTATCGCTGAACCTATAGCCGCGCATTGTTCGCCGAAGCTTTTAACCTAACCTCACTTCCCGCGTAATCAGGGTTCCGGGGAGGCATCCGGGCCCGGGGTTCCCGCGAACAACGGCGGGACCGGCGGACCGCCATGTTGGGCGCGGGTCTCGGGTCCCTTCGTGCCACGGTTGGGTATGCAACAATTGGTTGCAGCGTCCCGTGCAATGATTGGCCTTCGCTCCGGCTGAAGGCGGGAATCGACAGGTTATGACCCATTTCCCGACGAATGGATTTAATCCTGGTCTGATGGACTCGCATTGTTGAAATCTTGACTTAGGTCAGTTAAACGTCAGTTACCTACGCTAGAAATAGGAGGAAAGAGAAGCAGAAGGAAGAGAACATGAAAGAGGGGGAGACAAAGGAAGAGAAAAAGGAGGAGAATAAGAAGGAGGAGAAGAAGAAGGAGGAGGAGAAGGAGAAAAAGAAAGAGTGGGAGAGGGGAGAGGAAGGAGGGAGGGAGAGGGAAGGGGAAGGAGGGAGGGAGAGGGAGAAGAAGAGGAATAAATGGGGAAGGAAAAGATAATAGGAGGGAGAGCATGAGGATGAGAATGAGAAAAAATAATAATGAGAGGCAGAAGAGGAAGAAGAAGAGGAAAATAAAATAGGAGGGACAGCAAGAGGATGAAAAAGAGAAAAAATAACAATGAGGAGCAGAAGAGGAAGAAGGAGAGAAAGAAAAAGAAGAATAGAGGAATGAAAGAGAGAAGAAGATGGGTAAACAGAAAAGGAATATGCAAGCAGCGGAAAATCAGAGGCAACATTCATTCAAACCACCGAGAGATCACCAAAGTCTATTGAAACTTTCAGTCACAACCGATGAATGCGTTTCGGTTTGCTTTGTCAGTTAGTTTGCCAAACATTCCGATCCTTCTCAGAGTACCTCTTTTCTGGAAGTACACTTATGAAAAAGCTGTAAGTTCTGGGGAGAATTTCGAACTTATTTCATGATTAAGCAGATTTTCACATGGATGGAATGCGAACCCTGGAGAATTGTCGTCCGGGCGGACAACTGCTAGAACCTTCATGAGTTTCTTTCCTTCAAAACTGGACGAAATAGCAAAGCTGGAATATTCATAAGGATCAAGGCACAAGGGATAATCCATAGAATTCAGGCATAAATTGATAGCAGCACAAAACATCGGAGCCTCCATAAAACACTAGGTGGGTACCTGACCTACGCTCCCCCAGTCCCCCTGGTCACTCAGCGGCCCAGCCCCTCAAAGTGCTTTGCGCCTCGGCTGTTATGCATCACGCGTCACTTATGTGATTTTATATAATAGAGTAAGATTCAAAAATTCATCCTAAAAAAAAAAAAAAAAAACGCCGTGTTTAACCCGTAAGTCGGTAACGAGGACAATATTCGCTTATTTCCGTTTTCTGTGCTGTTTACCCGCTTTTCACAGCCTCGCGACGCCTTGCAAAGTCACCGAAAATTATCAGATCGATCTTTTTAACGATCTCTTCCGGCACGTACTAAAATCGAAACCAAATCGACCTCTTTAAAGATCTCTTACGGCCTGGAAAAAAATCGAAATCCAGGCTCGATTTCGATTTATTACGAACTATTCCGCAGGGAGCTTCGATTCCTCGCGCACGGGGAGGGTGTTTGTCAACAGACCGGAATTGGACTCGGCCGAAAGGCGCCGATGTTTACCCTCTTTGCCGGATTGAACGGGGGAGCGCGTATTCCTCGCATAAAAATTCGGGTGATTGATAAATGTGGCAGCGTGGGCCCGGCGGGCGCGTATTTGAATAACGCTCGGTGAATAAATATCCCGCAACTTCCAAATGTTTGTCCGGCAACTTTCAAATGTTTGTCCGGCAACTTAAAGACTCGCGAGGGATGGGGGACGGAGGGAGGGTGCGGGGCGGGGCGGTTGGGTAATTTTCCGTCGAGGATTTATTCCTGTCGGTTCGACGATTTGCATCCCCGTCTAGACGTCGGTGTGTGGTTCTGCGGTTCCGCGGCGGAAGACGGAGAAAAATGACCAGCATCTACAATGAACATCGTGTTAAAAAGGGAGTTTGGAGGAATTGGATGGTTGTGCTACACTTTAAAAACGAATTAAAGCCCGAGATAAACAATTTTAGGTGGAATCGATTCAACTGAGCCTTTTAGGTATGGAATGGAGAATTTCAGTTAAAATTAATTTAACTAAACCTTCTGGGCCCCGAATGCAGAAAAGGTAAAACTAATTTGAATCAGTGAGAACGAAAACACACCAACTCGGTAACTCGAAAATGCCTAATTTTCATTTGAGAGAGTTAATTTTCATAAAGGTCATTGAAGATAACGCATCTGTTCTAATTTGGACCTTTACGTGTCCTTAATTACTTGTCTTTTGGCAATAAAAAAGTTTTTCTTAGACTAGCTTCCTCTCCTACTGTGCAGTTTTGTGTGTGTCTTAATTATTTTCATTTTTTCGAGTTGGTTTGTTTTCGTTCTCACTCATTCATTTAAGACAGTCGACCAATCACGCTCCGCCTTTTAACCTATGTAATCTATGCCTACCCGGCAAACACTAAATTTCAACAATCAAGCTGCTGTGAGACATAGCAAGGTTACCTCGCTAATACCTTAAATATATATACCATTGCTAAGGTAAAGTGCTATTATTATATGTTGCCTTTACTAATAATAAAGGTGCTCAACGTGAATCACTAATTGGTTTATAAGCCATAGCTTTTTCTCAGTGAAATATGAGTTTTTCTTGAAAATGATTGGGAATGGACTTACCCAAAAATACTCTGGCTTGAAGCCGGGGATCTTTTTGTGGGAGGCACCAACTTGTGTCAGGTACTGGAAGAAACTGTCAAGGTTGTCTAGCTCCTTGATGCCCTCGTCGAGGGTGGTCATGACTTTGGTAGCGTGCTCAGCCAGCTCCATGCTGTTCTGTTGTGCCTCCCGCGTTCGCAGCTCCTTGAACCGCGTAAACAGCTCCAACAGCTCCTTGTGCTCCTCGAACAGCCTGCAATCAAACAAAACAACAAATACGTTACTTTAGATAATAAACTACGAGAAACGACTTCATTTGAATCAGTGAGAACGGAAACACACCAACTCGAAAAAATGAAATTAATCAAGACACACGCAAAACTACACAGTAGTTGAAAAAGTTAGCACAAGAAAAAGATCTTTGGTGCCGTTAGACAAGTTTTAAAGGTCGAAGTTGGAACGAATGCGTTAATTTCGATGACTTTTTTGAAAACTGACTCTCTTTCATGAAAATTGAGCATTTTTGAGTTACCGAGTTGGTGTGTTTTCGTTCTCACTGAATCATTTCAGGGGAAAAGCGCATAAGTGCAGCTTTTGAAAAAATTAAGATATTTAGGATTTCAAGTACCTAACGATGTAATATCCGAGAGGATGGTGCCGGGGGTAAGAGCTGCTCACCAGAAATTGATAAATACCTCAATTGATCAAAATTTTGTAAACAAAGAACTGTATAAAGGCCGATTTTTCAACCAAATTAGAATAGGAGTTATAAAAAGATCCATTAGACACTAGCTTTAGCTGTAACATTGCACCAAATACACCTCTTCCAATTTAGGGTGGGGCAGCTGGCCGGCCCCATTTCACCTCGTAAGAAACTATAAAATACATGTTACAAAAAAAAAAGGAAAAAAATGATTTCCAGTAAAATTAGTTTTAGTGCATATTCTGTAATAAATGTCAGAAGTCAAAAGGGGGAAAAAGAAGTAAATCGAGCATCAACACAGCCAAACACCGAGAAGACGTATTCGGGCCTCGTTTTGCAAAAAAAATTTCTTTCGAATTTTAGCAACACCTCATTTGCAGCATGATGCGAAGCATTGAGAGTTCACGCTTCGCGCCATAGCGCCTTCAATTTTGCAGACGCAACACGGACATCCATAAAGCACGAATAGTTGTATCCCGGCGCCGTCGTCGACACGCGTCTTTTCCTTCGCTCTTATCTTCATGTTGTGTTGGTTCCGTTTGTCTTTTTTAACAGGCTTGAGAACAAGGCGCGTAAGTGCAGTTTTTGAAAAAAGTGAGGAATTAAAGTCTTATTGAATATTCTGTGAAAAATTCGCTCCCAAATTCCAATTTTAAATCATCAAAAAGTCAGTTTGGACTTTCTTTTCGCCACAAGGAATCATGTAATTTCGAAACTTCACACACGTATTTCTTAAAATAGACAAAACTACACAAGTGCGCCTCGTCCTTCAAGCCCCTCATTTTAAAAAAAAATTGGGCCCATCGTTTAACCAGGAAAAGTTAAATAAAAAATTATCTTTTTAAATATATTTTTTTTTGTTTAAGAATATTTCTTTGCTAAAGAAAATTTTTGGATTTCCAAAAAGTGGTTTTTGGGTTTTTTTTAAAAGGATGGAATGAATTTACGTGTTGAAGTTGAATTTGGATCAGAATTTCTGCTATTCTGAGAATATTCTGGAGACCTCTTTAGACCTATTACAATTGACACTACACGCACAGGACATGACAAAAAAGAAATTGGTTTGCAGGGCAGTTGGCACTTAGTTTTGCTAATTTTATTGAAGGCATTCGAAGTTTCAATCGCGGGTACTCGAATTATAATTAAAAAAACGACCTTTTTAAACTTATGAAGATTACTTCAGAGAAATTTTTACTACCTTTAAGAGGGACCTCTGTTAAAAAAGTCTGCCTAATTCAAAACGAATTTCAATTGTTTTAAGGGATAATCCGTTTTAAAACAGCAGGACTTCATCTTCATTTCTCTTTTGAAAAAATGGCAAAATATTGTTTGCAGACTCCTTTTTACTCAAACCGACATTTTTTCAGTAGTTGGCAATACCGAGCTCTCGTTTAAAATTTCGTAATTGAATTTTTTGCATGTAATGTAGGATGTCAAAGTCTTCATGTTCATGGACTTCCGTTTTTGTTTCAGAACTTTCCGATAAAATTCCCTTCCGGTGCAAAGTAAACGTCAGGAATAATGAACGGTTTATTTAGGCCGAACGACCATGGCAATTTTTCACATGCTATCAGAATTTAGTTCCTTTGTATGTCAATCCTCATTGCATACAACCGTTCGTTGTTGAAAAGCCGCTCGGCAGAACACAATGGCGCCCGGACCGCAACATCCATTTGAACCCTTTTTGATTTTTTCTAAAGACATCGCCAGCGCGACCGGGTCAATTTTTCATTTCCAGTTGTTTTGAGCACAAAAGAACCGTATGTCCTCATGCGGTCCGCGGTGTTATTTAATTCGAGTTGAACGTAACAGTTGCCAAAGTACTGCTCTTACTTTTCCTTGTATTTCGAATGCCTCCAGAGGAGTCCATAGCCCAAGTAGTGAGGAAATAAATTCAGTCATATGAGTTGTGAGAAAGGTGTTACATATCGGCCGCACTATTCGGTTCTGCATGGGAACGGCACCAATAACACGGCTGCATAAACCTAATAGTACGGCAAATAGGCAACAAGACACTCACAGTTCATATGGTCGAGCTTTTTTTCCCAGCGTCGAATGGTAAAAAAAACAAAACACATACATTTATTGAGATGTTGTTTAAGTTACCATCATCATCATCTACAAACAACTAAACTGGAAAAAATCGGTCGTATGAATCGTGGGGTGTTCCAAATCGGCCACACGATTCGGCTCATGCAAGTTCTTTAGATTCACGTACCTGGGCCTCAACTCATAAACGTGAAAATTTTTACAAAATTGGATTTTAAAACAAGTTTGGTGACAACAACCGAACTGTAGAGATAGTTCGATCGCATGCACCAAGAGTACGATTACTTGAGCGTTGAATGCGCGATTGCATGAATCGAATGGTATGGTCAACATGAAACACCGTACTAAGCTATATATGACCGATTCAATGCACGTAGGGCAATTTTCTCCTTGTCCAGCTTTTAAGTACAGGGGACGCATAAGTAAAACAGGTAAAAGGTAGCTCAGTGTTACAGAACTTCACTGTAAAATACCTACATCAGAAAGCTCGAAGAGGTGCTCTATGAATATGTATAGGCACACAAAAATGTCTGAAAATTCAATAGCAAACTGAAAAAGCAAATTCCGCCAGAAAGAAGAAAAATACATTTACGATTCTAATCTGCTACGTGCAGGGCAGAACATTTGGATTGCATTTTGCAAAAAGGAACTACTAGCATTGCAATGTTGCTAAGATTGTGCAATTTCTTTTGTCTTGGAGGAAAAAACCGATTATACCTTAATAGTTTCTATTTTACTCGCTAAAAACTGTAAATTTAAGACAAAAATTACCATCTAAATTTCATAGTTTTTCAAATTTCCGCAATTTTATGGCAAAGGATGAAGTTGCAAAATCTTAGCATCATTGCAATGCTAGTGGTTCCTTTTTGCAAAATGCAATCAATTTCTCGATTGTGATGCATCTTTGCGCCTGCTCTTGACACAAAAATGTATTAGGGCCAATTTTAAACGTAGTCTGTCGGCTTTTTAGAGAATTTTCAGTCGAGATCTCAAAAGCGGATTTGCGAGCCGACTTGACAAAAATAACCCTACTAAAAATGTTGTCTGATGCGTGAGCTAAGGCAACCATTTTTACGGATGGTCCATGGTGAGGAAATAAAATTATCAAATATATTTGCACGTTATAGGTGGGAACAATCAATTATCTTCAGGAGATGAAAGTTAACTTCCTTTGTATTTCTTGCGGGCGGTCATCTCCCTTGGGGTTGTCCAGTCATACAAACTTTCGCTGCGCTGGTCTTTCCTCATCTTTGTAATAAAAGTAACTGACCAGTAAATAGCCCTTAGAAGGTTATCACTGAGCCAGTTTGACGTGAAAATTAAAATGGGGTCTTCACTTTCCTCACAGAAAATAGCAGGTATACTTCTTCTGGGTAAAATCTGACTTTGCCAGCAAGTTTTCAATAGAGTTATCGAGTAGAGGAAACACGAAAATAAGACTTACAATAGGAAAAGACCTCAGTCCAACTAAACTTAAAGTTAAAATACCAATATCAAGAGGCTTAGAGAACGAAAAAGTACAAAATCCATGCGCGAACTGAGATTACGTAGCCACGAAAGGCAAAGCTCATTGTTGGCCAGAAAGATTAATTGGCTGCACAATCGCGAATTAGTAGGTAAATACTTTCACTTATAAGAATCAATGCGTGAGGGATTGCATACTTCTCGGGCTAGTTTTAAAAGCACACGTTGCATGAAGCAAACATTTTTGGACCATGCACCTCGCGGAATTATCGTTCTTTATCCGCACTTCAGGAATTCACTGTAAAAAATGGTAATTTTTCCTGATTCTTCGAACTTAGTAGTCACCCTGCTTTATTGGACTTTCACTTTGGAGGATTCAGCATTTTCCTATTATCAGCGGCAGTCGTATCAGAAATGCCCTAAACTGTGTCTTGTTTGTCAATCAATGCATAGGCTCAGCATATCATTGAACTGCCTTGACACCGAAGAAATAATTTAAAAATAATGAGGACTCCAAAGATGGAAAATTCAACAACCTAAGCGATGAATTGGGTAGTAAGTTAGAGCTTAAAAGGGCATCCAATCAGTGGTGATATCAAACGACGTATTCTTACCGAGATTTTTTTTTTCATTTCTATTAGAGTCAAGATTCCTTCATCAGAACTCAGAAAAAAATATCAAAAACCGAGTTTGAACTTGTTATTCGCGTTAGAATTCCAGATTTTTCATGATTTGGGGGAAAAATAGCGACCTTTATGGGGTCAGATACCTCCATCGAAAGATGCATCTGTCGCAGGCAAATAGTAAAATTAGACATTCTGTCAGATGCCTGGGCAAATAGTCAAATATTCTAACTTAGATTGAAATTCTGCTTCTTTTCCTAATTTTCCTCCTAATTTTTGACAAAATAATTAATTTCTCCTGTAAGAAAAAATTCTCAGTAAAAATTTGCATCGCACAATAGTATTTTAAACCATTTTTAGCTCCCGCACAGACACTTATCTGGAAATTTTCAGCATGTTATGAAATAAAGAATT